TCTCCAGGCAAGCATCTACCCACAAACACAGCTCCCCCAAATATAGGCAGATGAGAAATCCCTTTCTGACTTCTCTCTGATCATGCAGGGAGTCGTCCAGCTACACACAGCTCCCTGCAGGGGCACCCTAGCCTGGCTGAACCTCCTCTGAAAAAAGTCAAGAGAAGGACCATTTGAAGAGCTTTTGCAACACATTCCTCACCCCCAACAAACAAAGCAGTAAAAGAGATTCCCCCCTAAAGACAACAAAATACCCTAAAATAATCACTTTGCAATAGCAACCAAAGATGCTCAAGTGCCTGTCTTCAAAGCTGGAAGTATCTACTGCATTAGTGCTGCATCTTGTTCAGATATGCTACATTCACCTCCAGCCCTGTAGAGCACAATGCTGACAGAGATGCACACAGACTCCTTAGCACAACATCTGCTACTCAAAATGGAAGCAAGCATGCTGGATTCATCCCACAGAGCTCCAGAGCTGCCTGCTTTGCAGTATTCTTGCAGTCTCCCCAGGAGCAACTGCTTTGAGCTTTCCGGCAAGGGAACTGAAAGCAACATGCTATGATATGGCAGGGATCTGATCTGTGGTGAAAGCAGAGCACTACACATGCATTCACTCTGCCCTGCAGGCTCCTTACCCACTTTGGGGGCTGAGGCCTTCACAGTCGGTGTCTCCTTTTCCTCCTCACTCTCTGATGAGCTGCTGCTGCTGCAGCTTTCCGGTGCTTTGGTCGTTACTGGAGCTTTGCTTTGTACTGCTTGGCTCACGGCTGCTACAGCTCGTCCAGGTTTCCCAGGACCAGGCAATTTCTGCCCAGCCTTGGCTGGGGTCGCAACTGATGCACTGGGCTGCTGCTTATTTGAGAGCACAGTTCTGTTTGCAGCAGAGGACGCTGCTACTTTACTGCCTGGAGCAGTGGGTTTAACAGGAGAATGCAAGGAGTTGGCAGCTTTGCCACTCACCACAGCTGGTGTCACCTACAGAAAACAAAAGAAATTAGAAGTCTATAGAAAAAATGAGGGGCTAAACTGGACACAGCATTACCTCAAGCAGCAATTTTGCATCTGGACAAGTTCTAACACTTAGACAGCATCCCCTTACCGTAATTGCACCTTTGCCACTTGGTGTTTCCTCTTCTGATGAGGAGTCATCATCTTCACTGCTTTCTACATTCACTGCTGAGTTTTTGACTGGGGAAATGCTGGTTACTGCACAGGAGAGACACAGAGAAATGAAGACAGACCTCCTCACATCAGAACAGTCCCTGTTCTGCAAAGGCTCCCAGCAGGCAGGGCAGAGCCCATCTTTACACCTGCCTCAGCTCCACAGCCACTACTCTTGCAACACGTAGGTGCCTTGCTTCTACCACAGCCAAGACACAATCTGCACAGTTCCAGGGGATGTATTACAGCAGATGAGATTGAGCTAAAACACCTGAGGCACGTGGGCTTTTGTTAGGCTGCGCAAGCCAATGCCTCCCATGTCAACAGCACAAGGGCTGTCCAGACCAAATAAAAAGGTCCTTCCCTCATCTGTGAAAATACCTTTCTTTGCTAGCCAAGCAGACAGCTGGGGCTTATTTCCCAAGGCTTCACCCAAGCTACAATATCCAATCCCTTCCCTCATAGTGAATCATAGAAGGTTTTTGTTGGCCTCAGCATACATCTGTGCTCTTCAAAAACTCTACATGAGATAAATCTGATAAATGTGATGAATCTGTTGTCCTAAGAGCATGAGGGAATAGCCATTGATTTTCAAGCATTCTCTCTAGCCAAGCAAACTGAACTGCTCCACACAACCCCTCACTGTTACTCTGTGAAATTCAGGGAGTTTACAGGCTCTTACCATTTCCAGTTTTCGTCTTCTCTTTCTCATCCTCTTCTTTCTCTGAGCTTTCAGAGCTGCTCACAGGATCAGGAACTCTGATCTTTTCTGGGATGGCTGCCTCCTCATCGCTCAGCTTTCTTCTCCTGGCTTTTGAAGGAGTTCTAAGGGGAATGGATTTTGTGTCAAAAAAGGGAAATATGAAGAACAAATAGGAAAATTTAACATCATCCACTCTCAGGCCAGGCTTAAGCCTGAGGACAAATAAGTGTCATTCTTCTACAGCTCCCAAGGAGGGGAGGAATGCCTGCCCAGTTTGTTGGCAGCTGGTAATACAACAGAAATCACTCCAAGAATTTGCCATGTGTGACCAGGCGTTCCATACATCGCATGCAGGAGAGCAGCGGTGACCTCAGGTGCTCGTCTTGCAGCAGCCTTTGAGGGCTGCATGTATTCCTCCTGCACAGGGCTGAACCTGTTCAGCATTCCCACCACTTCAGCAGCTCTGCAGCCTCCCTCACCCACCCAGCATCCCCCAGTAACAAAAAGGTCCAGCAGGAAGGCTGCTCCTAAACTGCAAATGCCAGCTACTAGGCTGCCTTTGAAAAGAGTTTCTGGAATACAGCACAGAGGATGGTCTCAGTCAGATGGGAAGGAGCTGCAGCACAGTCTGAGGAAAGGTATTTTCTAGCCTATGAAGTGACAAAACTAGAGGATCACAGCTCACCCAGACAAGTGCATTCGAGCCAAGCAGGACACTTTCTGGATAAATTAAACCACAAGTCAACACATCCCTCATGTAGAAGACATAGCAAGGGCCGGCAAGGAATAAAAGGCTTACTTGTGGTGTGAAATCAGAAGGTAAGGGTGACACCAGAGAACAAGGAATCAGTCAGTGTGAGCGCCCTGTCATCTCTTGGGTTTAAAAGTAATATGACAACAGGCACAGAAGGAGGTTGGCATCAACACCCAAGAAAGCAAAATATTGATGGAGGCAGGAACTGTAAATCCTGGTTCTTGCACTACTCCTTTCTTACCTAGATCCAGCTTTCTCCTGCTCTTGCAGGAACAAGACCAAGGCATGAGGCATCCTAGCAGGAAACACCTCTTCAGCAAACGCCTGCTTCCCAGGGCTGGGGCACAGCCAAAGGAATGCTTTCACTCAAGCACTTCTCAGCACAGGCACCAAGACCCAGCTGCACTGACACCCTGCTTCCCCAAGCCTGCAGCTTCCAGCTCTGCATCAAAGTGCAGAGGGTGAGAACAAATAATATTTCACTGCACACAGCTGGAGGCTTCGTGCTGCAGATGTTCACAGGAAGCACTCAGTTGGAAAATGATGTGAGAAGTCACTGGGATGGACAAGTACGGGCATGAGAGGGTTGGCTGGGAGCAGGAGATCCTTTGCTGCCCAGAAAGGCAGTGGATGTCCCATCCCTGGAGACATTCTGTGTCAGACTGAATCAAACTCTGAGCAACCTGATGGAGCTGTGGGTATCCCTGTTCGCTGCAGGAGAGTTGGATCAGTTGGTTACTAAGGGTCCCTTCCAATTCAAATGATTCTAAGGTCCTTTCAGGTAGATACAGGTGCTACCTGTGCTTTGCCTGGGGCACTGTGAGTCTCTGCCCATTCTCCACGTGCAGCTCACTCTGGCTGCAATCAATATGCACGCGTAAAGCACGTGGCTTGGTAAGGGAACTGAAACAGAGACGGGGAAAGCAAAGCATGCCTCTGATCCCAGCATCAACAGCATCTCAAGACTAAGCAACAACTTATCCCTAAGCTAAGGAAACGTTACCACGTGAAACCAGGACAGGAGGAAGGCTGCCGACCACAGCCACCACACAAAGGGGAAGCCCCGCAAATCACGGACACACGTGTCCCCCGGCCCGGCCCCCTCCCTCCCCACTCACTTCTCCCAGTGCGTGAAGATCTCCTCCAGCGACGTCGCCAGGGACGGGAGCAACTTCTGAGGGGCAGAGAACACGCGTCAGCCCCCGGTTCTGCTCCCAGCACCCCACGATGCCGCCCCGGGCCACGCGAACCCCGCGCACAGACCCTGCCCGTGAGCCCGGCACCGCACCGCGCCGCCCCTCGGGCCCACGGCGAGCGCAGCCCGATGGAAGCCGGCCCGGCCCCTTTACCTGTCCGAGCTGCGCCTGCAGTTCGCGGGCCGCCCGCGCGTAGCCGGTGCGCAGGAGGTGCTGGTGGATGAGGGCCAGCAGCTCCCGTCGCCCGCGGCCCTCCGCCGCCATGGCGCGGCCCAGCTCCGCGCTGCCCCGGGCGCCGCGTGCCGCGCTGAGCGACGTCACGTCCGCTTCCGGCCGCGCGGCCTCCTGGGAAATGTAGTGCCGGAAGTGGCTGCTGGGGTTGGGATGCTGCGGGGTGCGAGTTGAGTTACGTTGGGGTTGGGTTGCATTGACGTTGGGGTTGGGTTTAGAGCTGAGGTTGGGGTTGGGGTTCGTTGAGTTTGGGCTGCGTTGGGATTGGGTTGTGTCTTGCCCACTGTGGCCACTGAGCTGAGCAGGGTAACCCTGGGAAGCCACGATGGCGCCCGAAGCAGGACAGGGAGCATAGCTGAGGCCTGAAGCCAAATCCAGAAGTGAACTGGGCTGGCTGAGGGGGACCCAAACCGGGCACCGAATCTCTCCTGAGGAGCTCCAGCCAGCCCCAGGCTGAGGGGGAACCTCTGGGGCAAACAGAGCTGTGCTCAGGAGCAAAAACCCAGGCACCATCTGGGCCCGGGGAGCTCAAGAGATATTCGGGATGCATGCTGATGCTTCTTACATTGCTGCATTCCAGCAGGAGATCAGACACCTCCCACAACAAGGACGGGCTGATAACCAACAAGGCAGTGATTACTTCAGCAACAGCCACTAAATTTTCCTCTTGTGGGGACAGAGGCCTCACAGCTCTGGAGTGATTTACTGTTGGATAGACATGAAGCTGCTGCAAGGATCTACTCAGGCATTCTGGGGGCAAAACAAAGCAAACAATGAGAAGAAGGAGCTCCTGACACAGTGCAGCTGTTGGAGGCAGGCTGCGTTGCAGAAGGGCTGCCCTGTTACCCCCTCCCCATGCTGATACTTTCCAGGAAAAATCTGGCTCCTGTCACTTCAGCAGAGGTTTATTTTTAGAAGGTTTAATAATGACCGTGGCTTGTCTGTCACTCACTCAAAATACAGAACCTTTATTTGCGTTTATAGCAAAGATTAAATATAAAACTGACTGTGTTCCAATTGGCTCCCGCACCAAATTTCTTTGACACCAGCATCATCCAAAGCAATAAAGCCACCAGCCAGGTGGCAGGTTTACAGCTCCTGCAAATGAGACGTGGCTAGGCATTTCTAGGGGTGACCTCCTCCAGCACAGACAGTCATTGAAGCTCGCTGTAAATGTGGCTGTGGCATCCCTGCAAGGGTGATGCTGTGGCTGACCAGGACAGCATTCCCTTGCTCCAGGTTGACCTCGCACAAAGGCATGAGGCTTATCAGCCAGCATCTGCTTTGGAGACCCAGTTCTCCAGCTAAGGAGGGAAAAAAACTGGTAAGGAAAGCATGCTGGGGCGTCCTATGGTGGACTGACCAGTGCAGAGCATGTAGAGCCAATGCGGCCTGGAGCAAATGCCTGAGGAAGATGACTTCAGGGGCCTCTGGAATTGGAAAAACTGACCCAACCTCTTCCACCTCTATCCCTGCATACTCCATGGTGTGCAAGAATCTACGGATGAAGGAAGGGATGCCCATGCTTTGGGCAGAAAGGAGAGGATCTCTCCAAGGCAACAAAGCTCTCCCAACTAATGCCACAGGAAAAAGGGGTTGGATTTGGTTTTGGTCAGTTCCAGTAGAATGTGGAAAGGAAGAAGACAGAGTTGAACGTAGATGGAGCGAAAACATGTTCAGAAGGTGCTTTTTACAAGCATGGCAAGTAGAGTATAGGATCATAGAGTCATTAAGTTTGGAAAAGACCTCTGAGATCAACTAGTCCAACTGTCCACCTACTGCCCACCAAACTGTGTCCCTAAGTACCACATCTACACATTTCTTAATGTTAAACCCTCGAGTGCCCACAGACAAATGACTTTAAAAACGGACTCCATTTTTTCCTCAAGTGTCTGCTACAGTTCAGGGTCACCCGAGTCCAAGGTTTGATACCTTCAAGCCATGAATACCCTTAGGAAACCACAGCACAGGGCCTGGTAGTAACACAAGCCACTTGAATGAACTAATCTGAAATATATATATATGTACTCTGCACCACAATTACAGGTAGAGAAGGTATTTGAGGCGTTTGGTAAACATGCCAAATAATAAATACAGTTATTCAGTCAGCAAACAGCTGCATGATTATAAATAGGAAAATTGACCTCAGCCTGAAGCCAGCTGAGGCCCAACAACATGCTCTTATTAAGGAGTGATTTTTTTTCCCCTGCATTTTTTTGGAGGGACATTAAAAGTATTTTGCCCACTCTTTATTTTAGGAAGGTGAAATGTCCCTGGTGGATTTCAAAAGCTAACCTCTCGGGTATGCGTTTTCCATGCCAAGACACTGAGTCACGAACAGATCGGAGGAAGAAGTGTCAAACCCAGACAGGGGATAACACGGCTGTGATTTAGTAGCCAGCTCCGTCTGCTAATAACCGCACAGCCCGCTCCATGCCCTCAGCCTCACAAGCTGACAGCTTTGCTCGCTGCCACTTTCACATGCTATTTGCTTATTGCTTGGGGTAAAACTTGTCCACACCTATTCCATTCTGAATGACTGTTTGTGTCCTGGCCAAACCCAGGCTTGGGGAGCTGCTAGCAGCTGCACGGCGCCGTCATTCCTGCTCTGCGCCCTATGGAAGCTAACAGTCTCTAAGCACGTCTGCTGGACCCTTGGGCTTGCAGGGACACTTCTCTGCTCTCTGTTCATGAAGCTACAAGCATCATTTTTGTGTATTTGTCCACTTACAAGTCTGCAGCATTAGCGTGATGTAGCCATGGGGAACATATCCTCTGCCATGCGTGGACATTTTTATCTGGTGCTGCTCAGCTGGGTGTAGTTTTCAGGCATGGGGCTGATTCTGCCTGTTGCTGCTTTGGGGAATGAAAAGGCTGCATGAAACAAAGTGAAGAGATGTTGTGATCCTTACGGATGCTGGCGTAGTACACAGCATCTATGGGGTCTGGATCTGTAGGGATGCTGGTATGGTGCACAGAATCTATGGGGTCAGGATACTGAGTGGTCCCAGATGTTTGCCTGAGGAATTTCTTCCTCCAACTACTCATTCTGCCTCTGCTGGATCCCCTGTCCAAGGGGTGGGTTGTCTGTCTGGGAACAGGAGCATTGTCGCCACAAGCAGGTGACTCTGGTGGGTCTTAGCATCAGACCACTGTCCCTAAACGTGAGTCTGACCCATATTGTACCCCATTATAGGCAAGATCATCAGGATGCTTCACACAGCATCTGTAGGGCAGCTGTTCCATGGCTTTTCTGGTGTTCTGCTGCTGGGATGCTCCTGCGGGAAAATGGGGATGGAGCAGGATGAGGGGAGCATAAGAGAGATGGATGGAGGTGGAAGGAATAGAGCAGGGAACTGCAAAGGGACAGGGGGGAGAAGGTGAGAGCACAGGAGCAAAAGAGTGAGAGGAAATGGGGTGTTGTGAAGGGAAAAGTTGGGATGAAGAAAGAAGTTTTATTTCCAAGGGAAAATGAGACAGGGAAGGGAGCAGGCAGTGGGAAATCAGAGGAGAAGAGGAGGAAATGGCCACAGCGGTGGGCCTGAAGGACTTGCTTTCCTCCTGCCCCCGATTTACCAGCCCTCAGCCAGCATTGCGCATCTCTGTGTGCACAGTGGGTTGCCAGGTGCTGCTCTGTGAGGCTTTGAGTCACCCAGGCCGTCAGCATCTCTCGCTGTGTGCCCAGAGGAGCAGCGTGGGCTGCAGCTGGGGCAGCGTGGGGCTGAGGGTCTGCATTGAGTTCCCCTGCCTCGACCCACAGCTTCACGAGGAGCTGCCACAGGAACAGCCTCACTCCAGAATCCCATTTCTCCCCTCTCTTATTCAGCTGTTCTCTTCCCCCTCCTCCTTTTCTTTGTCTGCTAATGCACAACAGATGGGAGGAAATGCCATTTTAAATGCCACAGCATCCTGATGAAATGTGATGGGTTATGGCAATCTCAGATGAATCATGGCATTGTTTTGTGTACATGGCTCCGCTGTGGCTCGGCCTCGCTCAAGCAACTCTGCCTCCCGCTTCCCAAACACAATTAGGGTCATTTTAGGCATCTACCAGCAGCAGGTGCCCTCCAGGACCTGGCTGGCCAAGTGACATTAGCTAACTAACCAGCCACATTTGTGAAGGCAAAGCTGAGCCCTCTGAAGCATCTACTCCAGGCTGCCTTTGGCTGTGCAGGGATTATACGTTACACTGCATTCCCACGTTACATTTATAGGATTCCTACACAAGGTGCAGGGACTCTGTCCCCAGTAATGGGATTGACACAGCAGAGCCATCCTCTCCAGCTCCAGCTTCACCTGCGGTCCCTTTGGGGAGTGGGGCCATATCCCCATGCCTGTCCCTTGGCCCCATGGCCGTGTTGCTGGGATGGGAATGCAGAGCCAAACCCAGGGGCTGTGATGTGGTCTCCTGCTGCTGGGGTTTGCTAGGGATGGTCGGGTCATTTCGCCTAAGCAAGCAGACCAGCATCAAATAATATTGACTCAGTAGCTGCCAGATGAGAAACAGCAGCTCAGAAGTGAAAAACTATATCTGTATCTATGCGTATCCCAATGGCTCCATGACTGGAACCAATAGACCCAGCCCTGTTAGCTTCAAACTAATTAACTGTGGAAAAAAGTCACCTCTAAACCTACAGAATATAAAGCAGCCTTTTAGTTTGTGTAGCTGCGAGAACAGATTTGAGAACTCTAATGAGTAGAAGACGTGGCATTAAAATTTGGTTGCAATATGCTTAATCTTAGCAATCTAGATGGGAAATACATCACTGGGTATATCCAACTGCTTGTGCCTACTGGCATGGCAGCAGTGAACCCTTTAATTCCTCGTTTCTCTCTCAGATCTATGTCAATGGAGCAAGCAGAAGGGCTGTTGTGATTAACTCCCCCCTCCCGGCCCTGCTCAGGGCCAGCTGTAAGCATAGCCCTGCTCAAAGCCCTGGCAGCCCCGAGGTGAGTGCAGCCAACACCAACACTCGGGGCAGCCCTGCTGTGTTTACCCAGATTGCAGCAGCTCTACCTGGAAGGTAGATGGGGGCTGTGTTTGCGTTCCTGAACCGGAGCTTTGGGGGATTATTTTTCCCCCACCAGGCGTTCCTCTGCTGCTTTAACTCATGTCGAAAGCTGGGAGGCAGGAAAAGGAGGGGATGGAGGGAGCAGCTTGGGGTGTGGAGCAGCTCCATTGGGATGTACCCTGCACTGCCTCCATCTGCACCGTGCAGATGGATTTCTGTGTACCTGAACAGCTCAAGTTTCATGCAGGCATAACACACACACATGGGGTGGACAGCCATCTCCAGCCTCTCCTGGGGAACTGCAGAGAGATCCTTGCCTTATCTTATTGCAGTAAAGGGATTTATTGCGGCCGCTCCGCCAAAAAACGTACAGAGAAATTCCACCAAAGCACATATATATGTTTCTCTTGGAAGCAGACAAAACTCCAGTATGCAGAAAAGCCCTGAGCTGTTGTTAATCTCTGGGGTTTTATCCAAGTTTCTTTAGCAACTTGGACATCATCACAATGGCTTTCAGATAGAGCCGAGTGAGCCTCCCTCTGCCTTTGATTTCCTCCCCGAGATTTGAGTGGGTTGGGAATTGGGTGGGACGTTTCCAGCCAACGTCAGCCCCTGTAGCCACAAGAGGGTGACAGAGTCCCATCGCGCGGTGTGGCTTTGGACAAACGCAGGGATGTCCCCAGCTGGTGCAGGGCTCAGCCCAGTGGGGACCGAGCTGCCCTTTGGTGACCAGAGGCTCTTGGAAATCCCTGCTGGAGGCTTTGCTGGCTGGAAATGGGATCCCGGTGCTGGGAAGCTGAGGACTTTTTTTCCACCTGGTTTCAGTTAGCATTGGTGCTGGCATCAGCAACGTGTTCCCATTGCCAAAAGAGGGGCGAATTCCCAACCACTGCTGCAGCAGGCAAGGAAAGAAACCTCACCCTTGCTCTGTATTGGTGGTCTAATGCAAATACCATGTTTCAGAGTAGTTCTGGAAAAACGAAAATGTCTGAAGGCAATGCAATGCTGCCCTGCTTCTCCTGGCTGCTGGGGCTTGGGGCCTTTCTGTTCCTACATTGCCCACTCATGCTGCTGACTTGCTGCTGGCTGTGGCCTTGGAGCTCAAAGTTGCTCCATACATCCCTTTCAAGCTCCTGCTGTCCAGGCGGCTCATCCTGGGCGCATCTGCAAAGCCCCTGTGCTTGGGATTCTCGTAGTGTTTTGTCCCCATGGGCAGTCCAGGGCAGATCCCAGCTCCTGTTGCCTTTCCTGGGGGAAGCAGCAGTTCCACTGCCCACCCCTGACCCCTCTCCTGCCTTCCAGCCAGGGCATTCCCAGTGAGCAACACAGACAAGAGGCTTCTTGTACAGCCATCTCTGCACTTCTGCTTTTACAGCAGCCACCCAAGGCAACATCTGAGACAGAAGATTAAAGTGCTCTGGGATGCTTCCAAGGCTGAATCTCATCCTCCACCATCCCAGGAGACCAGAGCAGCGGGTGTGGGCTTGATGACATCTCCGGCGCTGATCTCCAGCCAGCTCCCTCCTAACCCCATCCAATGCTGGCCTGGGAACGCCTGCAGAGCACCAGGCAGGAGGGCAGCCCTCATCCTATAGGCTGCTGGGTGGGAGCTCGCTGTGTCACTGGGATCAGCTGCTTTCCTACGGAATGGGGTTGGATCTCACCCTGGTGCATGCACCGCGGTGCGTACCGGCAGGGTATAGCAGGAGGGAGGTCTGCACCAGTGCACGCACTGACAGGGTGTATCAGGAAGGAGAATTGCACCAGTGCACGCACTGATAGAGTACATCAGGAGCATTTGCTCAGATGGAAAAAGGGCCAATCACACCCCTGAGAGCTTTGGGGTGTGTGTGGGGACCAGGGACATGGGGTGTATTGGTGTAGGCTGTAATGGGGAAGGAGGACGTGCGTTCATGGGCTCTCCTCGAAGCTGCACTGCATGCTCCAAGGAGATTTTTCTATTTTCTCTTCAAATACTCGAAGTAATTAGATGCTGCTTATGAGTAATCACTTGGACTAAACAGTCTGGTTTCGTTTAAAGTGGTCGGTGTGAAACGCCGCGCGATTTGTTTGGACAAAAAACTAAGAAGGGCTCCTTTGAGCCTCCCTGGAGCCGCGGTGGGGAAGTGGGCAGAGGTGGGGCAGACCCACTCCTTCCCCAACCTGTGCCCTGGATGCAGTATAAAGCCTTCCCCAGGGAAGAAAACATCGCCCCGGTCTGCGGGCAGAGCTATAGGGATGAAAGAGAGGAGCGACGCTCTTCCCAAGGCAGAACCTTGAAAGCCTGCAGCCAACGTTAACGACCAAGTTGCGGCACGCTGAGTTTTACGGTCCTTGGTGAAAATGGTGACAGTAAATCCTCAGCTGGCTCCAGCCGTGAAGCTGCCCCCGACACCACTAAAATCCCTGCAAAGTTCTTGTTGACTTTGGCCGTGTCAGCGCCGCGCTCCATTGCAGCACGCGGTGTTAATGGCACAGAGATTTTCGAGGCCTCGGCGGCGGCGGGGCTGCTATTCTGCCTGTTCCAGAACCAACAGAAGGCATCTGCCTCACTCGTGTGTGCTTTCCTAGGGCAGGATCCCAATCCCAATCTCAGATCCTGGGCTGAGCTGCACCTTCTGCTCTCGTTCCTGGGAGCTGAGTATGGGCTATACCTTTTTATTTATAGTTTCAGCAAAGCAGGATTGGGTTTGGCTGCAGGCAGTTTTTATCTCGGGTAACGTGTCGCTTTCGAAGCCCTATTATTAGCGATTTTGTATAGCTTCAGGATTACTGCAGATCATAATGAATCACCCTCTGCAGCATCGATATAGGTACTCTCAGCCTCCCGACAACCGCCCTGCACGTGACGGGGAGCAGAAA